GGCCGCCGTTGTTCGTGGCCCCGCCCGCGCCCCCTAAGCCACGAGGTCGTAGTTATGTCCTCTATTTCACAGAACTGGCATAAAGACTGCATATGAAATAATTTCAACAACTCCTCTCCCGTTTAGTCATTACCTTCCATACAAAGCTGGATGAAGTTTCGACATGCTTTTGGTGCTTCTTTTGACCATAATTCTATATCTATATCCCCTGCTGTTGTTCTCAACAAAACCTATAAAATTATAAACACACCAGTTGTTTTATTGTAACTTGGTCACTGATCAAAGAGTATCTGAGTTAAACTTCTGAATTCATTATATTAGAAACAACAGTAGACATTCAAAATCACCAGGTAGCTACTGTTAGTTCTAAACAGTATTGCCCAAAATTAAGATACAGTTCTGAACTGGTATGAATAATAAGACTTCAAGGCCAATGACCTGTTACATGATAAAAAATTTTGATATCCTTTATCACTTCCAGAATGAAACTACGTGGGGAAAAAAAAATATAATTATGCCATAAAACTCCAAATGCATATACCTCACTCACAAGTAATATCATTAAATTCAGTGAGAGACCATAATAAAATTAAGAATTTAAGATATAGCCAAGAACAGAAGAAACGAAACGCTTCAAGGACTGCTCTTCTGTTAGGTATCCACCCAGCACGCGTCATGCTTCGACCAAGGTAACGTCTTTAAGGGCTATATCGTCTCAAATTAACTTTAACCAAGCCACCACCACAGATACGGCACATACTCCTCACCTGTCCCCCCACTCCCATGCAATTTCTTCACACCGCCCCACTCAAAAGCAACCCCACTGCAGCCCCCTCCCGCCGAACGCGCATCCCTACCACGAAGCGCAGCCCCCCGCCAGCCGCGCTCCCCACGCACAGCGCGCAGCCCCCTTCCCCTGCAAGGCCCCCACGGAGCACAGAGTTCCCTCACCCGCAAAGACCCCACGGAGCAGTTTCCTCACCCGCACCCCCCGCAGCAGCAGCCCCCTCACCTACGCTGTAGCCGAGCTCCCCTCCACCCAACGGCCTGACCTGTCCCTCGCCCACCGCAGCCCCTGCCCTCGGCAAACCTCACCTTGCCATTGGTAGGGGGCTCCTGGATGTAGATGTTACTCATGATCGGGAAGGAAGCGTCCCGGCAGGTGACCGACCAACCACCCGCGCTCCCCGCTCGGCTGCGCTTCCACTCGCGCTTCCTACCAACCCGAGCCTCCCGCCATCTTGGGCGCCTCTACAGAGCCGAGGGAGGTAGGGAGGAGATTGCCCAAACCAGGAGGGAGAGCAAAGGAGTGAGTCTCCGGTCGGAGTATCTGTGGGAGCCACGAGGGACAAAAATAATTTCAGAAGAGCCTGGAGGCTTTTCCAAGATACCTGCAGTCCCTTCCCGTGGCTCCCGCCTGGTACTGAGGTCCCCCGTCCTCTCTGTAAGTGGGACGGTCCGAGAGCGCGCCGGATAAAGCCTTCCGGCGGGGAGAGGCGCCGCCGCGGGCCCGGGCCGGGGCGGCGAGGAGAGCGGTGTGAGCGCCATGGCTCTGCCCGGTAAGAGGCTGCCAGCCGGGTCTGCGGGGGGAAAAGGGGCAATAGCCGGCTGGCCCCAGGGCCGGCATGTTGGGAAGGGGGAAGAAGGGGCGGGTTGATGGAAAATTACATGGGGAGGGCGCGCGACCGCGCATTACAGTGGGAAGTGTGCGGCGGGGAGACGCGTCTCCCTAAAGCAGCAGGGGCTGCCTGGGCAGGAACATTGCTCTGGTCCGCACAGGTGGTTTGCTAAACCAGCTGGCGGGAGGCAGCGGAGGGAGGGAGAAGGCCGTGGGAGGCGGGGCTGGGGTGTCAGGCCAGCCGTTGATGCGCGGCCGTGCAATTGCTTCCTTCTAGGCCTGCGGGGCCTGACCTCAACGTTTTGGATGTGCGGTGACCAAGCGCTGTGCTGCTATCGTCTGTTAGTATAAGCCACGTTCTTTAAAGTTAGATCCATAGAATGGTTGTTGCCAGGCTTGGTTTCCCTCCTCATCTTTTGTTCAGGATTAACGTCTGTATCACACTAGATTTTTGTTTAAATACACACGCTGAGAATGATGGTGAGCCAGGACAGGCAGAAATACTTGTGCTATTTGCAAGGTATTTAGATCTATGTTAGCTAAACGTACAGCCGTTGCTTCATAACTTTCTTGATCTGAGACATGAGGAGCTGAAAAAGCCTGAGCTTTGGTAAGCTGCTTCTCTTAAGAGAAGACCTTAATAAGCTTGCTCCCATTCTAGAAGTTCTTGTAAATACACTTGTAGTCACAGTTATGGATCATTGGAATGTCAGATAGGTATTACCATGTTTGTACTGTTAAGTAAACAAATACATAAGCTTTCAGAGAAATGAATAATTACTAGAATTACAGTGGAAAGGTCATAATAAATCAAATGATGATTTGACAATATGTGAAACTGAATGTTCTGTGGCAGTTTATACAAACCAAATTTGTTCTGATAGATTACTGCACAGAAAAGTTAACTTAGAAGTGCACTGTTTCACTTTAAGATTTTTTTAAGAGATCTTAGTGTACTTAATACTCTGAGGAGTGATCAGTCTTGTGTATTATTATCAAGCCAGATTTAAAAGAAACTTGAGAGTTCTGTTTACCAACACCTGGTTGATGAAATTTTCCCTTTCAGGTGGAAACAAGGATAACATCAGAGCAGGATGCAAGAAGTGTGGCTACCGTAAGTCTGTAGTAAGCAATGTGAAATTTTCAACTTGTGATTCAACTTATGATGTCATAACTGCTGGGGTGGGGGGTGTGGAGTGTAAAAAAACCCCACAAACCAGCAACAAACAACAACAAAAACCCCCAACAAAAAAACCCAACACCTGTTCTGCCTTCTTGGCCAGACATTTCTCAGTTTAAATTATCATAATTTTTATTTATTATTTCCTATTAATTCTCTTACTCCTTACACCTATTGCTACTTTTGAAAACACTTGAGTTTTTCAGGAAGAAGAGGAGTATGCTCTTGTATCATATATACTGCATGTGCAGTGTAATTTCTGGAGAAACTTTGAATTGAAAGCGTGGTCCTTGATATCTACTGAGATTAGCATTTTTCCTGTTTCTGGCTCTCCTTGCAAATTTAGGCAGGTCTTTCAGCTCAAGTTAAGTCCAGTCTGGTTTAAAAGAAAAAAAAGAGTTAAAATGTGTATGCTCTTCTACGTTAAAACATACTTCTCTGTGCATTCTATATTTCAAAAAACTGTTAATTTTGTTACTTACAAATTCTGTAATTAGCACTTAATGCTTATGCTTTGCTTTGTGCTCTGCTCATACGATTATGTCTGTGTCTACTTTTCTGATGAATGCAAACAGGTCTTAGCAAATACTGTAATTTGTTAATTACTAACTTATTTTTAGAATAATGAAGGAGTGGACATTGTTTTACAGTGAATTGTGTTGAATTTTTAACAGTGATTTAAACCATTTTTTTTAATGAGCATTATGTGGGGTGAAGGGGCAAAAAAACTTGTTTCATTTTTTCACTGTAGACTTTGTCTCCAACAAATTTTGTCAATGAATTGTTTTGTGTATCTGTTCTTCCAAAGGAACACATCAGTATATATTTAATGCTTCATTTCTATATACAGCAAGTATCAGAAGCTTTCTGGAAAAGAAGGAAACTTGTCAAATCATATCAAACCTGATTTCTGTTCCTAAAAGCTCTGTCTTCAAGATGTAGGTATTTTGTATGAATGAAGAAGATGAGTTTATTTCAATTGCTACTTGAATTCCTGCATCTTTAGCATAGTTTCTCCTAAAACATACATTCAATCTGTTTTATTTTTCTCTATTATTCCAATAGAATTATTCAGCACAAGGTTTCTAACTCTGGTCATGATTATTGCAATAACTTAGTTAAAATACTAGTAAAGTAGTAGCTTGGATGATTAAAGATTATGTCTCACAAACAAATGAGGATTCTGCTTCACTAGAGGGAGACAAAAAGAGCAATATAGCAGCACACTTGCTGTTGATTTTTAAATATTTTAAAATATTTCATGCTTTTAGGTAGTTTCTTCAGGAAGGGTGAGAGATCATTAAAAAAATAGAAAGTAAAGGTTGGACAAAATCTTTAAGAGAAATAAGAGAGGGATCGTAAAGCACTATTAAAGGGAATAATAGTGCACAACCTCGTTGAGGCTTTTTCAAAGTAAGCCTTCTCCCTCCTCATTCACAGATTGCAGCCTAGCCTTTTTTTCACTTCTCAGCACTGAATAATACTGAAATGGATGTTCTTTAGATTCTGATATTTTTTGATAAATTGTAATTTTTAATTCTGAATGTTTGTTTTGTTCAGCTGGTCATCTGACATTTGAATGTCGAAACTTCCTCCGAGTAGATCCTCAAAGAGATATTGTTTTAGATGTTAGCAGCACTAGCAGTGAAGACAGTGAGGAAGAGGAACTACAGAGATTGCAAGCCATGCGTGAAAAAAAGAGTAAGGTGTTGGGTTTTTTTTCTCTTAAAGAGTAAATTGGATCATGGTCTTTTGAAGTACTGGAATTCTCATTTTATCCTTTGCAATAACTACTACTAATTCTTCAAGCCTGTGCTTTAAAAGTAGGTCTTCTAGTTCATGTGTTCAGACTTCAGAGATTTGATATACCCACATCTATTTTTATTATTACTAATTCCTGTCATAGGAAATGAATAATGTACCCACTTGGAACATCTCAAAAAAGGCTTCTAAATACAAAAGATCATTAAGAATGTTACTAAGAAGCTGCTTAGGAGAAAATGACATGGATGTTCTGAGTTAATCTTTTGACTATGGCATGTAGTTTAAACATTTTAAAGTTGATAGTAACTCTTAAAACTGATGACAGATAAGACAGCTGAATTTCTTTCCAGTTTCTAAGTGGTGTTTTGACTGAAACTGCTAGTGAATTGAATTTAAACATTCACATTTGGAGAAGTACTGTTCTCTGTTTGGATGGTCTGAGCATCAACTGTTTGTCAGAGAGAGAAGAGATGAGTTATTTAGCAGATACGTGAGTTCATTTGAATTTGGACTTCAAAGAGGCTGTTCTCCTAATTAAGAAGAGGAGATTGTTCCACCATAGCATGCTTTAAATGAATTAATGTTCTTCCCCTCTGCCCCTTGAAATGTCCTATTTTGTTCTGTTGCTCTCACATTCCAGACTTAACATTCAGTTCCTACTAAGGATGCTATTTAGGAAGGAGAATGGATAGATAGCACCCTGTAATTTGCTGGAACACTTCAAAAGAAATGGGTAGTCTGCTTGTCAGGAGTGCTGAATTGGTACTGCAACAATACTCTGGAAAAACCTGTTCCATTTATAATACACTTTTGCATGTAAGGGATGTTTTTGGCCCTAAACTGATTAAAGATGGATATCTGCAGGAAAAACAGCTGTTTACTTGATCTTGTAATATCCCTGTTCATTATATGTTCTTTCTCAAATTGTGGCGGCTGTGTATACTGTAAGGAGATAAGTATTTTTAACTGTCAATAAACAGGATTTTGCCATTTTCAAGTGGCCTCATCTTCTCGAGATTTTTGCACAGTTTGCACTTAGATTTTTGCACTGCTTTCTTAAAAAAATTTTAATTGCTCCAAAAGTAATCTGCTTTTTGTAACTCATTGAATTCTTTCATATGTTGGTCCAGAAGATTCAGACCAGTAATTTCTATTTGGGGTAGCAAATGAATAACTGCACTAGCATGCAGACTCTGTGGAATGGTATTTGATAGAAATAAGATGAAGTGCTCAAAATCAGCTATCTGTTTTAATGACAATCTGTAAAGCCAGTGTTTTCCTGTTAGCAGATATTGTAATGTGTATTTATGTAATGGATTTGCATTTTGGAGAATTAAAAAATACTTTTTGAACTGGCATAGAAAAGACAAGGTCAGAAATTTCATCCAATGTCATAAAACTATTGCTTGTAAGTGAAATGTGAAGATACTATAAAATACTATACAGTGTTAGGGCAGGAAACAAACAGGACCAGATGAGAGCTGACTGCTGCCATTCTTTGTAGGTGGTATATTTACAGTTAACTGAAATTGATCTTATTTATGGCATAGCTATTTGTGAAGTGTGAAGTGAGGATGTGTGAAAATAATTCAGGTAAGCCTAAGGGAATTTTTTTTTTTTTTTTATGTTCTAGTTAAATGATCTGTTTTCAGACTTGGGCAAGTCTTTAAAAATACAGAAGAACGGATGTAAACATACAGGAAAAGTCACAAGTTTCTGCTGTGTTTTGTGGGCCTTCCTTCATTCTTAGTGCTTAGATCAAAGTCATTAGAATGTAAGTTGTGTAATAAGTTATGCTATGCTACAAAATATTTCTAAAATTACTGTACTAGACAAGGATTTGGAGGAAGGAAAACTTTTAACAAGAATTTTATAGTAACTTTACATTGCGGTTACTGTAGTAACTTTGGATATTGAAGTCACACTTTTAATGCTGATCTTAATTCAGACAAGTGTTTTGTAAACTGTAATTTTTTTAATCCATAGATGTAAATGAGGAGGAAGAAAAAAAGAAACAAAAAAGAAAAAGCAAAGAAAAAACAAAATTAAAGAGACCAAGAAAAAGGTAACTCTGTCACACTCCTATTTTAATTTCAAAACAGAACTTTACAAAGTTTCTGATCTGTGTGTTGCTTCCCAAGAAACATTGCTTCTTTTGATCCAATTCTTTTTGCAAGTACATCTTTGATTTGAAAAGCTTCCTGTTTTCCAGTGAGAACTTGTTTGTTCTTTGAGTAGTGGTAAAGCCACAGGCTTTCTGCTATGGAGTTAGGATCGTGGAGGTCTAGAAAGCTCTAGCAAGCTGTAGGTCTGCAGGTCCGAGAAAGCAATGTTCACTCTGACTATCCAACACTACACAAGATGTGGGGAAAAGAACAAGAGGTCAGAAGAATAATAGGGTTTGTCTCCAGCTTGGCTCACCTGAAGAAGCCTCCTTGCAGTTCAGAGACCCTAAGATTCTGTGTGTGCACACATGCTTGTATAGAAAAAAAACACACACACACATACACGCTGAGTAACGTAACTATCAAAAGAAACACTGCTGTAGTTTTACTTAGCATGTGCTGAGTTTTAATCTTCTTTTTATTGTAGAAGCCTAAAACAAGTGTTATTCCAGAATCACAGAATCATCTAGGTTGGAAAAGACCTTGAAGATCACCTAGTCCAACCATCAGCCTAACACTGACAGTTCTCAATTACAGAAGACCCCTCAGTGCTGTGTCAACCCGACTCTTAAACACCTCCAGGGACAGGGTTTCCACCACCTCCCTGGGCAGCCCATTCCAATGCCCAATAACCCCTTCTGGAAAGAAATGCTTCCTAATATCTAGTCTGGCACAACTTGAGGCCATTCCTTCTTGTTCTGTCGCTTGTTACTTGGTTAAAGAGACTCATCCCCAGCTCTCACCTCCTTTCAGGTAGCTGTAGAGGGCGGTGAGGTCTCCCCTCAGCCTCCTCCAGACTAAACACCCCCAGTTCCCTCAGCCGCTCCTCGTACAACCTGTGCTCCAGACCCTGCACCTTTGCCCTTCTCTGGACACGCTTGAGTCATTCAATGTCCTTTTTGTAGTGAGGGGCCCAAAACTGAACACAGGAATCAAGGTGCGGCCTCCCCAGTGCCGAGTACAGGGGTCAGATCCCTCCCCTGTCCCTGCTGGCCACGCTATTGCTGACACAAGCCAGGATGCCATTGGCCACCTGGGCACACTGCTGGCTCCTGTTCAGCCGGCTGTCAATCAACCCCCCCAGGTCCCTCTCTGACTGGCAGCTCTCCAGCCACTCCTCCCCAAGGCTGTAGCGCTGCTGGGGGTTGTTGTGGCCCAAGGGCAGCCCCCGGCATTTGCCCTTAGTGAAACTCCTCCAGTTGGCTTCGGCCCATGGCTCCAGCCTGTTCAGGTCTCTCTGCAGAGCCCTACCCTCGAGCAGATCAACACTCCCACCCAACCTGGTGTCATCTGCAAACACTGAGGGTGCACTCGATCCCCTTGTCTAGATCATCAATGAAGATGTTAAACAGGAGTGGCCCCAAAACCGAGCCCTGGGGGACACCACTCGTGACCGGCTGCCAACTGGATTTAACTCCGTTCACCACAACTCTTTGGGCACGGCCATCCAGACAGTTTTTTACCCAGTGAAGTGTGTGCCCATCCAAGGCACAAACAGCCACTTTCTCTAGGCAAATGCTGTGGGAAACAGTGTCAGAGTCCTTACTGAGGTCAAGGTAAACAACACCCACAGCCTTTCCCTCACCCAGTAAGCAGGTCGCCCTGTCGTAGAAGGAGATCAGGTTTGTCAAGCAGGACCTGCCTTTCATAAACCCGCTGACTGGGCCTGAGCATCTGGTTGTCCCGCATGTGTTGTGTGATGGTACTCAGGATGAGCTGCTCCATCAGCTTCACAGGCACTGAAGTCAAGCTGACAGGCCTGTAATTTCCTGGACCATCCTTTTGACCCTTCTTATATATGGGCGTCACATTGGCCCATTTCCAATCTGTTGGGAGCACCCCAGCCAGCTCCTTCAGCACCCTCGGGTGTATCCCATCTGGTCCCATAGACTTGTGTATATGTATATGATGCTGCAGGTCACTGACTGTCTCCTCCTGGATTGCAGGGGTCTTTCTCCCAGTCTCTGTCTTCTAGCTGAGGAGGCTGGATTCCCTTAGTACAACTAGTCTTGTTATTACAGACTGAGGCAAAGAAGTGATCAAGCACCTCAGCCTTTTCCTCATCACTTGTTACCATGTTTCCTCCTGTGTGTAGCAGGGGATGGAGTTCCCACTGGTCTTTCTTTTGCTGCTGACATAGAAACATTTCTTGTTTTCCTTGATTGCTGAAAACAGATTAATTTCTAGCCGGGCTTTAGACCTCCTGATTTCCACCCTGCATAGCCTCACAGCCTCTTTGTAATCATTGTGACTCACCAGCCCCTTTTTCCAAAGGCTGTAAACTTTCTTTTTCTCCCTGAGTTGCAGCCAAAGCTCCCTGTTCAGCCAGGGTCATCTTCTCTGCCGCTGGCTTCTCTTATAGCACCTGGGAACAGCCTGCTTCTGAGATATTAAGACTTCCAGTTTCAAAGGAAAATGTCATAATACCCAAATTTTTTGTGAATCTGAATTTTGGCCTGCTGATGGATTTTTTACATGTGACAAAATCTCGTTAGTCATTAGGTCTTTTGACAAGACAATATCCCAGGAACTGCACTGAGAACTAGGAAATGTGTACTGAACTGGAGGCCACAATAAGATCTTTTTTCAGAAATAAAAAGGATTTAACACTGGTTGTATTGGTATTTTTCCCCTTATTTCCATAGTGGGAATGCGGTAGAAAAGAGTCGGTCTGCTGGCTGTAGTCTTTACATTCATTTAATAACTAATCATGTAAACAATAGCATAGAACTGTCGTCTTGAGTGTAATATTCATGACTTCTATTCTCCTTTAATTCCTGTATGTATGTAATCACTCATCACTGCTGGTTAGAGACCGATATTACCAGCTGCCAGAGCATCCAAATTTGTCATACCCGTTTCTCATAAATTTTTGCATGAGAGAAATACATTGAGATTTATTTGAAGGCATTACTGTAGCATTGTTACTGATCTTGTGATATTTCAAAAGCTGAAAGCTCTGTCTTACTGTTGTACCTTCAGTTTTCTGTCAGTCTGTACTCTTAGTCTTGTTCTCATTGAAGGTTGAAAAATACCCAACTTGCCTATTCCACTGTTATTCTGTATTATAAATATACTGCTTTTCTGGCACAATAGTCTTAATTAGAAAAGTTGTCATTCAGCTGAACATGGAGAGTGAGATTGTAAGCATTCCAGTGAATGCTACTGTACGAATTCTACACCAAATTTGATTTGTGACATTGAAATACTTAAATGAAACCAATTAAACCCCCCACTTTATTCTTATGGAATTTTTCTTCTTTAATTATATATCAATCTGTTTTGGGTTTTTTTTTCCCCTAGATCTTCCTCATCAAGTGCAGCTGAAGAGGATGGGCCAAAGTCAAAAAAGCAAAAATCACACAAAAAAGAAAGGGAAAAAGAAAAAAAGAATAAATCTAAGAAAGGAAAACATCATAAAAAGGAGAAGAAGAAGAGACGAAAGGAAAAAAGTTCATCTTCTGATAGTTCAGACAGTTCTAGTAGTGACTGAAGTGCTGGCCTATTTTTGCATTCACTGCTGCAGAGAAGATGATTTTCCTTTCAAATCAAGTTTATTTATGCTTTGCAATGCTGTTGTTTTAAAATAAGATCTATATATATTTTTAAGAAATCTATCTGCAACTATCCAGTGCTTCAAATTATTAAATGGACCATGTGGGAAAAAACACGCTCTTCTATTTCATGTTTATCAGTACTGAACCATGCAAGTTTTAACTGATTCTTCACTCTTTTTCTTAGTTCAGTTGAGCTTAGTTATGTTTGGAATCATTTACACTAGGATATGATAAGCTTCAGTTTGCAAGTCTTTGGGTAAAAGGATTTGGACTTTAATACGACTAGTGTCAGAATGGTTAAATCAAATTGGGAAATTTAGGTGAGATTTTCTATTATGTTATCCTTTAAATAAATGTGTGCTTTGCATAACACTCTCCTTCACATACATTGATCAGTAAGTGCTAATATGAAATACTGTTTGAGTCCGGAGAAGGGAAAGAATGGGCAATGAGAAGCTAAAAGAGATTGTTCCTTCAAAATTATCTTCTAAAATTGATCTAGTTATAGGCTGTGAAACACAGTTACACATTCTTTTGGCAGGATCAGTGTGAACAAGCTCAAAATAAACAAAAGCTATTGATTTTTTGAAGACCTTTCTGCCTAGGTTTTGTTTTTTACAATTATGGCCATTTCATCTTTGACATAAAGCACCACTTCCTAACACTAGATGACTGTTCAGCAAGATTGTTTACAAAGTTCCAAGAACTATGTTAATATATTATGTGGTAATTAATGCCTACGTGAACTAAAACGGGAAATTCAAAGACTGACAGTTGACAAGAATAGTGAAGCCTCCATTCATTCTAACAAAACTCCCGTTGAAAAGTTAACAGAGACATATGCAAACCTTTTGTGGAATATAAGCAATCTGTCATGTTGAAGTCTATAGCAAAATTTACCTTTTTCTATTAGGAGCTATGTTAAACATGTCAAAATTTTATAACTGGATTTTGGGGTATCCAGTTCATATCTTGTACTGTGATAGGGTACAAGTTCAAGACAGACTGATACTTTTGAGTTGAGCACAATCCTACCTGAGAATTGCCTAAACCTTGAAGTGCCTACGTTTAAAGCTACTTGAAAATGCTCTTCATGTTTGTTTCATTTTTCTTTGCTTGGACACAGAATTGCTTCCATCTGAGCTACTTGGCATACAGTTTCACTCAAGGGAGTCAAAATACGAGGAAGAGCAACACCTAAACTTTCTTAATAGTGTCCATTGCCTATGTTTTCTACACTGGGTTAGAGCATTGAGTCAGTACAAAATGTTTTGTGGTATTTTAATGATTATTACATTTGGCGTGAAAGGGACCTAGATCTAACTGTCTTTCAGACTTTCATGTCTCAGACTGGTACCCTTATTTTTTGGGCACCTTGTGCTGTATGTGCTGTGCTAGGGAACATTAAAGATCTAAATATTCACAGAAGCCTGTTGTGGTTTTAACCCAGCTGGCAGCCAAATGCTACACAGCCAATTTCACTGACGATTCACCTTCAGTGGCTTCTGTGACCTGTCATGTGGGTCTCCACACAGCTGCCTTCCACCTTCAGTGTTTCCCCACAATGTGGCAGGATCCATCAGTAAACAGGGCATATTGCTTTTCATTATCAGGTAGTTACCCCATGTCATCAATGTATTGCAGGTGTTCTGGGGCTTCACCCTGTTCCAGTGCAGTCTGGATCAGTCCATGGCAAATGCTGGGGCTGTGTTTCCACCCCTGGGGCAGTTGATTCCAGGTATATGGACACCCCTCCAGGTGAAGGCAAACTGCTCTCTGTTGCCAAAGGGACAGAGAAAAATGGATTGGTGATACCAGTTGTGGTATACCACTTCACTGCCTTTGACTCCAGTTTGTACTGAAGCTTTAGCATGTCTGACATGGCAACACTCGGTGTGAGTTCATTCAGGTCACAATAGTCTACTCTCAGTCTCCATTAGACCTGCACTGGCTGTATGGAGCTGTTACAGGGTGAGCGAGTCTTTCTGATGACTCCTTAGGTCTCTAGTTGATGGATCAGTTTATGAATGGGAATTACAGCGTCGGTGCGATACTGCCATCCGTGCACAGTTGTAGTAGCAATTGGCACCTGTTCAGCCCTCAGCAACGCCACAGCAGAAGGGTCCTCTGAGAGACTGGGCAAAGCAGAAAGCAGACAGCTGTTTGAGTATTCCATCTCCAAGGCAGCTATACTGAAAGCCCACTAATACCCTTTTGGGTCCTTGCAATACCCTCTCCTCATACAATCTATACCAAGAATGTATGGAGCTTCTGGGCCAGTCACAACTGGGTGCTTTTCCCACACATCCCCACTTAGGCTCACCTCAGCCTCTAATACAGTCAGCCAGTTGGAGGGGCTGCAGTGCCTGTCATTTTGTTACCAGATCGAGAGACGTTCTCTTCCCCTTGGGGGTACTGTATAGTGTTGAACAGGGCTCGATAGGCATGGGCCAGGCCTCATCACATTTCAGTGATATGTGTCTCTGAAATTATCAGGGTTACAGCATACTTCTTCCAAATATTTCACTAGTTTTGAGGGATTCTGCACTTGTTCAGGGGAGACATTCCAAGACATAGGGGGTGCCCACTGTCCTAGGTACTTGCCCATGCCATCCCACTGCCCCTGCCACTCATAACTCTTCAGCCTTGGGGTACTGAGCGATACTCTTAAACAGTTAACCCTGAACAAAGCCTGAACCACAGGCAGGAACACACTGGTTCCCAGCAGTAAGACAACCATGTTCGTGTCAACATTCCACAGATACTAAAAATTTTCAAAATTCTCAAATCCTACTGTAAGTGGCCTGGAGGAGAAGGAGAAGGAGAAGGAGAAGGAGAAGGAGAAGGAGAAGGAGAAGGAGAAGGAGAAGGAGAAGGAGAAGGAGAAGGAGAAGGAGAAGGAGAAGGAGAAGGAGAAGGAGAAGGATGTCTCCTCCATGGATTGGGTCTCCAAGGAGAAGGGGTAATTGTTAACCCTTTCCAGTAGATGACCCCCCAAGTACAGAGATGACTATAATGCTAGTACAGATATCAGACTAGTCTCAGGACAGATAACTTCCTGGTACCATAAACCAGTGTTACATAGTACAGCAAAGCAAAAATCTTAACCACCTCCCACAGGTGATGAGCAGCAGCACAGGGACTATATACAGCAAGTGAGCTGATGGATTGCACAACTCTAGCGCCCCAACTGTAAGGGCCAATAAACTGAACATTATGAGCAGCAACTGATAAGCCACTATAACAAATGCTTCTAACAGATTTGTTGTAATACACTCTGGCCATATCTGTCATTACCTCCAACCTTCAAGCTCCATGTTGGGTGCCAAAAAAGACTGTTGTGGTTTAAACTTGTACAGCATTTAAACACTATGTGGCTGCTTTCTCACTCTCCTCTGCCCAGGGTATGGGGGAAAGGATTGAAGGGGTAAAGGCAGGAGGACTCGTAGATTGAGATAAAAACAGTCCAGTAATTGAAATAAAATAAAACAATAATAATAATAGAAAGTACATGTGTGTAATGCACAATGTGATTACCACCTGCCCACTGATAACCAACCAGTTTCTGGCTGGCAATCTTGGAGGAGCCACAATCCCAAAACTTCAATCCCAGAAGTGAGAGAGAACTCTCTGTTTCTCAGTCAACCCTCCTTTATGTACTGAGCAGAATGTTACATGATATGTAATATTTCAATGGCCAGTTTGGGTCTGGTGCTTTGGTTCTGCTCCCTCCCAGCTTTTTTGTGCACCTGTGCATGGGCAGGACATGGGAAATGGAAAGTACTTGGTTTCTTAGCAACAACCAAAAATATCTGTATTATCAACATTCTTCTCATAGCAAATCTTACTGAATCCAAAAGACAGCATGATTCTAGCTACTAAGAAGAAAAATTAAGTCTATCCCATCTGAAACCAGGACAAAGAGAGCAAAGAAAAATGATCTGTAACCTTCTATGTAGGTCTCCCAGTAGAGGACGGCAAGAGTCCTTACATCTGCTATTTCTCTTACTGGCTTTGGTCCAACCTATTTTTTCGTGATTTCTGGGATGGGCTTGGATAGTATAACTGGATTGCTTTATTAGATAATACCAGTGTATAGTACAACGAGCATTTATTTTGTAAATATCGATTTAACTGCCATCCTGTTCACTCTAGTTTCCTCAGTGTTGCTGTGGCTGTTACAGTTTATTTTTGACTGGGTTAATTCTCTAAACCAGTCATTCTGTAGATAGCAACAGGGGAGTTGTGGGCTACTTAAATGGAAACTGTTGCCAAAGGAAATATTTAATCAAGTCACATCTTAAGACACAACTCATTGCCGTTTTTTTCCGCTAAAATGTTCCTTACTTAATGATATTGGCAGGGTTATTGGGATTAGGGGAATTCAGAACTCATATGTAATTCTCCCACGATCTTCCCATGATCTTCTGATGATCCCATGATGCCAACTCTGGGGAATGGGATTTTGTACCTTATTAGTTTCTTGATTTTTGAAAGCTTCATCTGAAGACAAGGGGCTGAAGGAAATTTTACTGTGCTTTTTGTACCTGAATGGCTGAAGTGTTTATTAAACAACCACTATTAGAGTTAGTATATCTCTATGCATAATTCATCCATCAAACTGTATTTAATGACAAATTAGAGAATGGATAGAGATTTAAAGTTCAGAAAAGCAACTAGTATATATTTTCGTAGTGTTCCTTATACTTTTGTGTATATTCAAATAGCCATTTTAGGTTCTAGTTCTAATTGTTGAAATCAAAATATTACCTATCTAAATGATAGAGCAATTACCTTCCATGTAGCATTCAGCAGCTATTTATGGTAGTTACAATTGTATTTTGTACAAGAGTGTAAGGCATGAATTTCAATGTTCTACTTGAATTTTCTACTTGTTACTAGCATACATAGATTTTCATACTGGAGAATTTTCTGATTTGTACAATTTAAGATTTGAACAATTTAAATAACATTATTCTCTCAAATCATGCATTTATGTAACAAAGAGAGTATGATGTCTGAGCTTACTTTTCAGCCCATATTCCCATTTTGTTTACAAATATGTACATTAAAGGAAATTTTGCCACAGAAATGCTCAAGATTTCAGGTATACTAACCAATATAAAAGGAGATGCTGCAGAGAACAATTCTCTGCCAAGTTAATATTTGCTAAAATCTAGCAAATCTAGCTATATGGACATAATTTTAGTGAGTCTGATATGTTGTAACAAATGTTATTGTTTCATGTGAGTCTCAACGTGAACCAAAGTGCCTACTGTTTCTAGAAAAAGAAGTGACATTCAGCAGGTTTAGGTATCAAAACAACATATCTAATATTAAAAGTCAGCAATTTCTTCATTCCTATCAATTGTTATTAACTTCAGTTTTCATGAATCACACTTTAAAGGACAATGCCTAGACATACCTGCTGCTGTTGTGCAGGCCCAAGGTATTGATTGTATGCCTGCTAGTCAAGAAGCACCAAAGATCTTAAAATATGAAGATGACGCCAGTACAAACAAGGACTGTCATTCCCTGTCAGCTTATCTCAGTTACAGAATGAAATGCCTATTTTCAGAAAGAAACAAAAATTATGCATGTGAGTAGTATGTGGGGTGGGATGAAGTAAAGAAATTAAGGCAAAGGCATGCCAAATGGATAGAGTAATGAAGAGTCAACAACTTCCATATACCTTACAGTAAGATTTGAAATGGAAATTAACCTCTATTGTTAGGCACCAAGAACAAAGTAGGTACCTGGTGTTTCCTTCAGTCTTCTTTCCAAGATAGCAGAAGGAAAACATGCACGTCTGCAATCCACCTACTTGCTGGGGAACAGACTGCTGTAAACTGCACCAAAGGCTGGAATCACTGAATCAAAGCTGAATTAAGCTACTGTTTTACAAACAGCTAAAGGAAATTCACATTCACCATGCAAAAATTACAGCTTCACCATTCTTTGCAGCATGCAAGACACCA